GATTCACCTGGCTCTGCCACCACCGCCCGGCTAGAATCTTTATTATTATTATTATTATTCGGCAATTTCATCTCCCAATCCCGGCTTCATGTCCTGTCCTGTCCTTTCCTTTTCTTTCTTTTTTTTTTTTTTTTTTTTGTAACCTACTAGGCCCGCCTGTGCTGCCTATGGGAATGCTGACGAGGCTGTGGACTTGATCTTGTGTGGGTCTTGTGCAGGTCCCCACAGCCGTGATGAGTGCAATGGTCATGTCATGTCCAGTAGACGAATTTTACAGCACTCCTCCCTGTCCTCCGGCTCTTCCGTTCTTCCTGCCCCCTCTTCTTGAATGTCCTCTGAGCCTTAGGGTAGGGGAGTGTTCTTATAGATGCCCCAGTTTGGGCTGAGTTCTCACTAGCTGCTTGTTCTCAGCACTTTGACCAGTTATGAGTCTTCCTTGTCTGATGATAACTGCGAAGAGATGCTTTTACGGCTAAGGTTGAAGGCAGCACTAGTTTATGTATATAAACATAAATATTTAGAAAGTGGGTTGACAACACGTCCATTCAGCAAGACCACAGTAGAGTGTTCCCTCCAGGACCTGTGACCTCCTGAGCTATGGGTATTTATACCAGGCATAACTTCCCTCTGATAGAGTAGGCCTCAAATTCAACCCAGCCGGGCGGTGGTGGCGCACGCCTTTAATCCCAGCACTTGGGAGGCAGAGCCAGGTGGATCTCTGTGAGTTCCAGGCCAGCCTGGGCTACCAAGTGAGTTCCAGGAAAAGGCGCAAAGCTACACAGAGAAACCCTGTCTCGAAAAACAAAAAAACAAAACAAAACAAATTCAACCCAAAGCTGTTGGCTGCCCCCATAACCTGTGTACCACTTTTGCATTGATAGGCACATCTTGTCTGGTAGGTTGGTATTATGGCATGTAGAGGTTCCCACTGGGTAATACTGCTGATGACTTTTCTCCTCCAGAGGCCTGCAGAGTACCTTCTGGCACTATAAAAGCTAGGAGGAAGTTTCCAGGTCAGTTCCAACTGGATTTCTCTGTGTCCTGTAACCAATATGTGTTGTGTCATTAGTAATTGGATCTCACCATCTAGTTATGGTGGGCAGCTAAGAGTCTGTGTTGTTGGAGTGGAGGGCCTCAGGGGCCTCCTAATCCACTACTCATAGGGAGATGTCCCATGCCCAACACTGAGATTCTCATTTAATGGCATGTCTTCTGAGGGACATATTATCTTGCAGGGTAGCTGTATTCAAACTCCTCCTTTAAAAATGTTTTCAATTAGTTCACAAAGCCGTGGGTGTCCATACATCCTTAGTTTGGCTAAGCTAACCCTAACTTACCCTTCCCCTGTATTTCCAGTTTTCTATTGTAATGGATATTGTTTTGTAACCATTCATATGTAAGTTTTTGTGTGGACATTGATTTTATTTCTTTCTGGTGTATGCATGACAGTAGAATTTCCAGGTCATGTGATAACTGTGTTTAACTTCTGAGGACCTCCTAGGCTGCTCTCCAACACACTGCCCCAATTCATATCCCTATATACATCCTTCCAATTTTTCCATCTCTTCATTAGTATTTCTTAGCTTCCTCTAAAAAAATGTTTTTATATGGGCCTGGCGGTGGTGGCGCACGCCTTTAATCCCAGCACTCAGGAGGCAGAGGCAGGCGGATCTCTGTGAGTTCAAGGCCAGCCTGGTCTACAGAGTGAGATCCAGGAAAGGCGCAAAGCTACACAGAGAAACCCTGTCTCGAAAAACCAAAAAAAAAAAAAAGGGCTGAAGAGATGGCTCAGAGGTTAAGAGCACCAACTGCTCTTCCAGAGGTCCTGAGTTCAATTCCCAGCAACCACATTGTGGCCTACAACCACTTGTAATGAGATTTGGTGCCCTCTTCTGGCCTGCAGGGACACATGCAGGCAGAATACTGTATACATAATAAATAAATAAATCAAAAAAAATGTTTTTTTAAAAATGTTTTTATGTATATAGGTGTTTTGCCTGTATATATGTATGTATGTACACCATGTGTGCCTGGTGCAAGTGGCGGCCAGAAGGAGGTACCAGATTCCCCTGGACCTGGAGTTAGAGACAATGTGAACATGTGGGTACTCTAAATCAAACCTGGGTCCTAGGGCCTAGGAGAGCAGCCAATGACCTTAACTGCCAAGCCGTCTCTCTAGTCCCTAGGTGCCTTTTAAATTGCAGCTATCCTAGTAATTATGAAGTGACTACTCATGTGTGTGTGTGTGTGTGTGTGAGTGTGACAGAGAGGTGGGAGGGTAATGGTGGGTGTGGAGGTCAGAAGACAGCATCGGGTGTCCTGCTCTGTCACTCCCTGCCTTACTCTCTTGAGATAGGAGGGTCTTTCACTGAAACTGGAGGTCGGCTGGTGGCCAGAACGCCCAGTGATCCTCGTGTCTCTGCACTCCACAGAACTGGTGCTAGGGTTTTTTGTTTTGTTTTGTTGTTTATTTGTTTGTTTGTTTTATATGTATCTTGGCTCTGGATCCACATCCTCATGCTTATAAAGCAAACATTCTGTCCACCCCCCCCCCCCCATTATGATTTAAGACTGCTTTTTTCAGGCCCATATACTCAGAAACCCTCATAGACATCCCCTTATTTGTAAGATCTTTGGTTTGGTCCTCAAGTTCTTCTACACTTTGGATCTCAGTCTCTCTCCCACCACTGTACCAGCTCCCACTCGAGCCCAGGCGGTCTCCTCTCCCTCTTCCATTTCTCAGGGCCAGAGCCCCTCTGTCTTCCCAGCTGCCTTTGAAATTACATTTGGGTTACAGAGAACTCAGATACGGGGGTTGGGGTTCACAGAGCAGAGCTGGGAAGGTGCGTGTGGCCTCTTATGATGCCAAGGACCCCAAGTGACCTTGTATAGGTCTTATATAGATATATCTCACATCTGGGCCAGCAGCTGCAGTTGAGTGTGCCCAGCCAGCCTTCTCCTGGAGTTCTGTGTGGGGAGAGATAAGGGCAGAGGCGTGACTGCACACTCGGGGAGGCCAGAGCAGGAAGCAAGACCTGGTTTGAAGTCAGGTTTGATTTTTTTTTTCACTCTCTCATCTCCTCCCCTACAGGATAGGTAAGGAGTCTTTTAGCCTGGTCTGAAGTTTTACAAATGTTTTTTATAAGAACCCACTAAATGTGCTAATATATAATCATATAATCTTCTTGAAGATCCTTGTCTCTAGAGTTCCTACCTTATATGACTATTAATCTCAGTTATTGTTGTGAAGAACCTCTGGTTACATGCTCAGGGACAACCCCTCCCCAGAATTGCCCTATAATAAAAATGCCTTCTCACTTCAGGAGTCTGTTTAACTTCCTACATTTCCAGAAGGTGTTGGAGCACTTTACATCCAATATATCCCAATGCAAAAGTCTCTGTCAAAGGCCAAGCTCACTGTCTCAACCAAGATGCAGACCTCTGCCCCAGAAGGCTCTGCTCTCCTGGTCAGAGCAGGCTCTGCTGAGAAACGAGGTCATTTACCTTTCCTGCCGTCCACCTTGAAGTTCCTGGCTGACTATGTAGACGCTCTCAGCCGAGGCTAAAGCACACTGACCTCTCCCACTGGGAAGTCCTGTTTCAGTTCTGAGTACACGCTCACAGAGTTCTAGAGGTTAATGGGATTGGAAGAGAAGTAGATGCTGTTTCAGTGCCTTGGGGAGAAAAACGTGGAGACGAATCTTCTTCGTATTCTGAGTTCTGATTGCTCAGCAGTGAAGGGGTCGCTGCCAGGGTTAACCTGGGAAGTCTACTGCAAATGTCCTTGACTCAAATCCTGTGACCAGAACAGGGTTTCTTAAACTTTTCCCATTAGCAACCCGCTTTGGCCTCAAGAAGTTTTGCTTTTTTCTTTTTTTGGTTTTTCAAGACAGGATTTCTCTGTGTATCCCTGGTTGTCCTGGAACTCTCTCTGTACACCAGGCTGGCCTTGAACTCACAGAGATCTACCTGCCTCTGCCTCCCGAGTGCTGGGATTAAAGGAGTGCACACCACCGCCTGACTGGCCCATGAAATTTTTACATGACCTCAAGCATATATGTATATAAAATATGTATGCATATCAAACATTTGCAGATAATATATTATACATTTGTTTTAAAATAATTCATGGGTATAATCTTAACATTTATTGAAGACAATAAAATTTTCACACTAATGACATGGACGGGCTTGTTTCTTTTTACGTGAGTAATTAAATCTCGGCTGAACATGTGATATTGCAGGACATAGATCATCTTAAATGTTTTTCAGAATTCATCAATAATTTTATTTTGTAATTGTTAGTGCCAAAACACTACTTCATATAAATGTGTAATACAAACTGGCAGAGTATGTTAGGACCATTTCATAAGTTTTGTCCAAATCCCAAACCAAAGTTCATTTAACCATTTTTAAAAGAAATTCAAATCAGCAACCCAGACAGCAATTTTTAAAATCAACAGTTCTAACACAAGACAGTATCAAGGTATACCAATTTGATACAAACATTATGAGGAATGTAGGAAGATAGTAAACGTTTCTGTTTCCTGTTAACTGTTACTTTTCTGTAAGAGCGGGAAAGTGTGTACCGGAAGAACCCTGCCGTTCATGGCATACAGTGCTGAGCCAAGGTGCTCAAAGGCTGTGTGTGTTGGTGCTGTGTGGTGTGATAGCATGCGTGGTAAAGTGTGTGCGTGTTGTGTGTTCAGATCAAAGCTGCAGTCACCTCAGAGTCCTTAAGTGCTTCACTTCGAATTAATATTTGCCTGTTGTGAATTCAGAAACTTTCTATTGTTGCCAACTTTTTGTGACCCTTTATTCAGTTACATGATTCCCTGTGTGGGTGACAACATACAATTTAAGAAACCTGTGATTAGAATAAGCTACAGAAATACTCAAAGATGTTCCTCCCCTCGCCAGCAGGTGGCGCTCTAGACACATGGTTTTCAGGCGCCCTTTCTAGCCAAGCTCCTTTCTCCTCATCCTCTGTTCTTTGCCAGGTCTATGTGCCCTCTCTATCAACCATTCCAACTCCTACCTGGCATATCCTGGAAGCCAGACTACAGGAGAGATTGTTCTCTATGATGGAAACTCCCTGGTAAGTTCACCGTGATCCCTGGTGCGCCAACCCGCCTGCCCTGGCCAGCTGGTGAATAGACTTAGATAAGGAGTCCCTGTTGCAGTGGGGTGAGCTGTGTGGGGGAGTTCTCTGGTCACAGCAGTTGGATGAGGAAAACAAATGATATTTGTGTTGAGGCTCACAGTATCAGTCAACATCACTGTGAGGCAGGTGCCGGAACAAGGCCAAGCACCTGCCCAAGGTGGGATCAGTGAGACAGTCCTGTATTCCCTGCCCTCCACTCCCTGCAGCTTCCTAGAGCATCACCCAGCAGGGCAGGGGCACTCTGGGAAACCCCTGAAGAAGAAAGCACAAAGAGCCCCTAACAGCCTATCTCTGTATCAGGCACACGGCTGCTCATCCACCTTCCCTAAGGCAGGGAAAGGAACAGACATAAGATAACCCCCTCCTCTCCCTCCACACACACACACAAGCAAGCATGCACACACCCATGCATGCGCACACACACACACACACACACACACAGAGCTCAGGGAATGTCACAGAAGATGGGTCAGGAAGGACATAAGGCCTGGAAGAAAGGGTGGATTGCTGTAGAACGCTGTCTTGGCATCATAACGTGGCTATCACACCCTCAGGCTCTCTGTGCTCTGCACCTGCACTGACTGAGCACTCTGTCATGGAAGGCGAACTTCATGAGAGCCAGCCGCATACAGGCTATTAATTTGCTGGGGGGGGGGGGGTAAACATTTTCTTTAGTAGGATAGCCACTGCTGGGTTGTCCGTACCCCTGTAAGTGGCCCTGATTAAATTCATTGATGACCCAAAACACAGAGAGAGTTGGAGGCCAGAATACGACTAGCAAAGCTCGGTAGAAAGGACTTTCGGCTTACATGCAAGTGGCCCCTGGAGAGCAGGCAGACAAGGCAGAGAGCGAGGAGGGAGGGAATTCCTCTTCCCTCTTCCCCAGCATCGATCTCCACTTCTCCCCCACACCCACAGAAAACAGTGTGCACCATCGCTGCCCACGAGGGAACACTGGCCGCCATCACCTTCAACTCCTCGGGCTCCAAACTAGCAAGTGCGTCTGAGAAAGTGAGTGTGCTCTGGCTTCTCCTCCTGTCGGGGGGTTTGCAGGACACCCGCTGAAGTGCCCACATTGCAGCCAGAACACGGTGATGGCCATGTGGAGACTGACTGGTCTCTAGGCCTGCTCAGAAGTGGTTTCCGAGGGAGACTATCTGGGCCCTGCCTGTTGTGGTCTGTCAGTGAATTTGTCATATCAAATGGTGACATTATGCAAGATGCATAAAAACTTGTGGTCTTATTGAGAAACGCATGTGCCTCTTGTCCATAGATAGGGAGAGAGATTGGACTCTGTTGACCAGAATAAATAAAGTGACCAAGTTATATTCCAAATGCCATGCAAAGCAGATATATTTTGATAAGCAGAGATAGAATAGTCTAGAACAGTTTGTGACGCCCCACCCCGCCCCACCCCACCCCACCCCACCCCCACACACAACCATGCACACACTGAAAGAGACTTGGACAAGGATAGGGAGGGAAAGACAGTATTTAACACATGTTCCAAGAATTCTTATTTGGCACATATACAGATAAAAATGCCCTTGTGCCCAATGATTTGTGCTTCCTCCTCAGAGACAGGTGTTCAAAGCCAGTGATACAAACTGCCCTGAAAAGGGACATTTCTGTGTGAAGCATTTGTGGTTGGGAAAAGTCCACTCGCTTTCTCTTCCAGGGCACCGTCATCCGAGTGTTCTCTGTGCCTGATGGGCAGAAACTCTATGAGTTTCGTCGAGGAATGAAAAGGTCTGTGCTCAGCGTCGGTCCGTTTTAAAATCGTTCCTGGCAGCCATCTAGGGAGAGGAGAGAGGCAGGCTCTGTGGCCTCCTCTTCTAGAGATTAAGGTGCTTTCCACGTAATTAACTCAGGGCTACACTGGGGGCTTTCTAAAACCTGAAGTCAGAGAAGACTTAATGCAGGATCCGGCCGATTTGTCCATGGGAGGCCAGCATGGAGAAGGCAGAGAGCCAGTGAATCACAATCCAGAAACAATTTCTGCTTCTTTCCACAGATGAGAACTAAAGGATCACATCAGATGTCAGTGGCTGGGACCTTTTTGGCTATGGGTTTTGTAGCTGGATCTGTTGAGAGCAGATGGGAGATATCTCATGCTAAGAAAGCAGATCTCCCATCCACTGGCTGGGAGAAAGGGCCAGGCCCTGTGTGTGTGTTCGTACCTAAGACCATGATTCTCCCTGAATCTCTCCCACATTGCTTTTTAAATATGAATAGCATGATGTTGGAGGGGTTGTAAGCCTTGTCAAGGCACATTTTCATTTCTTCGTATCGCTACTCTTAGAACTGTGAGGAGATGACCTCGCTGTTCTGGCTTATTGGCCTGTGTGTTGCTATCTCTAGGTATGTGACAATCAGCTCTCTAGTGTTCAGTATGGACTCGCAGTTCCTGTGTGCCTCCAGCAACACGGAGACCGTGCACATCTTCAAGCTGGAGCACCTGACTGACAGGCAAGTGCAGCACCGTGTGCAGAGTACCTGCCAGCCTGAAGGGATGGGTCCCCGGTTATGCTGCAGCCACTGACGCTCACTCTAAACCTGGTCCTGCTGCTGTCAGTGTGGTAGCGTGTGCGCCCGCAGAACGTTCTGGGGTGTCCCGCACAAAAGCAAAAATCTGGGTCTACACTCCCCAGTTTACATCTCAACTCGGCCCCTTTGGAGCTCTGAGACTCTGGGAAGCTTGTTCAGTCTCTCAGAAGCTCACTTTCCAATCACCGGTAAAACAAGCATAGTAATTGTGTTTGCACCTTAAGCTTATGTGTGGACTTAGTAAGTTCATTGTTGATATAAAGTGTTTGGTGGGGCCCGGACACCAGCGTGCTTAAGCTGGTGTTGCTGTGTTAACCAGGAATGGCAGCGTGTTTAGTGTCCGTGTGGCCCCCAGCTAGGACTGCTCTGCAAGCGTGTTCCCTCCGTGGGGAACCCTGACATTCCTGGTATTAGTTCCCACTTCATCTCTGTGGCCGTCAGACCTTCCAGAAAGTGTGATGAGAGGAAAGTTTCCATCAGATTTCAACCCATCGTGGTGGGGAAGGGATGGTGGGTTTGGGGTAGCAGGACCTTCTGGCTGTGGCTCTTCTCATCTTTGCAGACCAGGGACAGAGAGGACCTTCAAAGACCCACTCCCCTGGGACCTACTTCCCCTAGCCCAGTCCTCCCCTCCTAAAGGTGCTACCACGTCAAAACAGTGCCGCCGGCTTCAAAACATGAGCCCAGGGGGACTTTTCTTCTTTGAGTTAAACCTGAGATTCTTATTCTGCACACTTTCCTCCTATTTCATCTGCTTTCCAGACTCTGCTTCACAGTCCCCAAATCTTCAGTGGCTTGTGAAGCTTCTGCCTGTGGTGGCAGCCTGGGCCCTAGAGGCCCGCCCAGCCCTTACCTTTACCACTGAGGTGCAGCAGCCGGGCAGGTGCTCCCAAGACCCCCACCCCCCCAACCTCCCAGCCAGTCAGTCACCAGTGTTTAAGACAGGAAACTCATCACCATCTCCCAGCTCTGCTCTGTGTGAGTGGCCAGCAGTGGCCAGGGGCAGAACCTTGAGTTCTCGACTTGTCTGTGAAGTGTGGGTATGTCTTGGGCAGTATGGCTTCCGTTTGTAGCTTAGTCCTGCCTCACTGGCTGCTGCCCTTGTCCACACCTTCAACTGCGTTGTGTTTCTATGTAACCTCACTCTTCCCAGCTCTCTCTTTAACCAGTTGTGGTGTGAGATAGTACACACACACACACACACACACACACACACACACACACACACACACGCCGTGCGCGCACACACGTCTGTTCACCTCTAGAAAATGAAGTAGCAACCGCACTAAAAGCCAGCTTGGTGAACCAGTGAGTTTTTGCCGGGGATGCTAACAGGAGTTTGGGGGAGGAACCCTTACAGGAGCATAGATGACTCAAATGCAGCCACATGATGAAAAGGCCACCAAGCAGGGCTGATGGTTTACACAGTGGTAGCCCCAGAGAGATCTCCTTGGGGCAGCTGGGCCGGCCACAGTCCCTTCTCCCGGCAGGTCAGTGCTTCTGTAAGGCCTTCAAAAATCTTGCAAGTCTCTGCCTTCCCAAAGGTGAGGGTTTATTCACCCCTGAGTCTAATCCTTCCTCATTCCCTCCTGGGGAGAATGTTTCAATGCAGAGGGATCTGCCACACAGCAGCTGCCCATCTGTATCTTCTTGCAGGATCAGTCCTCTAGAAGTGCTCCTTTGAACATGGCTCCTCCTTCTCAGACTCCTTTATTCTCTTTTCCCCTCGATAACAAAATCTCAGTTCCCCCTTACCTGCAGAGTGCAGCAGTCACCACCCCACAACCCCCGAAACCCCTCCACCTCAGAGACACCATCATTAAAGAAACCATACACATCTCATAGGCTTGTCTGTCAGCTTCAGTTCTTCTGAGGAAGCAGGCCAGAGGATTCATGATTGTTCCTGCATTCCAAATGAGGAAACAGAAAACAGGATGCTAAGGACCCTCATCTGCCTCTCTCTGCTCTGTGGCTCCTGTCTGAACTGTGTGTTTAGCCACTCAGGTTCCTTTGCTTTATATACATCTGCACTGTGCCCGACCTTAAATGTAAAGTCTTAATGTTATTCTTCTTGATAGATCCTAACTCTGAGCACAGCGCTCTAGGACCATCAGTACAGGTATGTCTGAAAGTGTCCCTTTCAGTCAGGAATGTCAAGGCCCAGAGAGGTTAGTCTGAAGACCACATGGCCAGTTGGTAACAGTGTGAAATGGGCCCAATGCTTCTGAGCTGTGTATCCCACCAGGATCAGGTCCCACCTACAAGTGGCCTCATAGCAGATGCTCCCTAATATAGGACACTAAGATGGCAGTGTTGCTCATTCATGGACCTCCTTGGAGACCTTGAGATGAAGTTCAGTGAGTGCAGGGTACCTCCCAGATTCCTGAGGTGTGCCTGAGCATTGTGAATGCTGGGTACCACATGGCTCCAGAGCCATAATGAGACACCTCCTCGAGTGTCTTGCCTGGAGGCTTGCTTCCTACTCAGTCTGGCTCAGGAAGCCTTCACAGGGTTCTGTCTGTTCTTCCCTGAACCCCATTTGGGCTTGTGAGCTCCTTTTACAGGGTGCAGATATCTCTTCCATCTGAATCTCTACCTTTGCCCTCATTTGGAAATCTAGGAATCGGACTAATGGTCAGAAACACTCTCTACTGTAAGAAAGCAGTAGCACAGGGTACCTCTTACCAGGCTTACAGGCTTCTGAAGGACGACATGCAGGTCCTGATGCTCTTTAGTTGTTATTGCTGGAATAATGTGTCTCTGTGGCTGGAACACTGTGTTCAGGCACAGCCTCTGCCTGCTGAGGCCAATGCTGGACTACAGCAATCACTGGCAAGGGGCCTGTGCCCACAGCCCAGGCCCACCCTTGCCTCTGCATTGCCTCCCCTAGCCGCCCAGAAGAGCCTTCCACCTGGAGTGGCTACATGGGAAAGATGTTCATGGCAGCTACCAACTACCTCCCCGCCCAGGTGTCGGACATGATGAACCAGGACAGGGCTTTCGCCACAGGACGCCTGAACTTCTCTGGGCAGAAGAACATCTGTACCCTGTCCACGTATGTACAGTGCCACCAAACTCACAGATGTATTTTCCCAGAATGTGGAAGCCCTAAATGTATGAAAAGAAAAAAGACAGGGCTGGGAAGATGGCTCAGCGGTTATGAGCCCTTACTGCTCTTTCAGAGAACCAGGGTTCAGTTCCCAGTACACACAGCTCACAGCTGCCTATAACTCCAGTTGGAGGGATCTGCTGCCCTCTTCTGGCCTCTGCATGCACTGCATGCATGTGGTGCACATACAGACAAGCAGGCACACACATGCACACAAAAACAAAACAGCCCCAAGAAAGGGCGAGCAGAATCTGTTTGCTGGTTTTAATGTGGATTCTCAGGGGGCAGCTGGGAGTTGGCATGTAAATATCAAATCTTGGTCCCAATGGCAGTGCCTTACAAACAATCTTTGTTTATGTAAGACAAAATAATGGAGCCTTTAATCCCAGAACTTGAGAGGCAAAGGCCAGCCTGGGCTGCAGAGTGAGTTCCAGGAAAGGCGCAAAGCTACAAAGAAACCCTGACTCAAAATAATAACAATAATAATAATAATAATAATAATAATAATAATAATAATAATAATAATGGAGTTCCAGCTTAATAGCCTATGTGGCTGACAGGTGTCTTAATTTAATAAGCTTAGGGCATTTGTTAGAAAATCAAAACAAACAAACAAAAACTGAGCTGGGCATGGCAGTACACATCTGTAATCCTAGCACTCAGGAGACCCAGCCAGGGATTTTGCAAATACAATGCCAGCCCAGAATATGTATCAAAATCCTGTCTCAACAGACAAGAAAAAGAATAATTTTAGGGGCTATGGAGGTAACTCAGTCAATAAAATGCTTGCCCCAGAAGCAAAAAGACTGGAGTTTGAGCCCCAGACCCCACATGAAACAGCTGGATGTGGAAGCATGTGCTTGTCATCCCACCACAGGATGGTGGAAACAGGTGGGTCCCTGGGGCTCTCTGGCCTAATCAGTGAGTACCAGGCCAGTAAGAAACTCTGTCTCAAGAGAAGGGGGCCCTCTGGCCTCTGCATGCATGCTCACTTGCATACATGTAAACACACGCATTTATAAACCTAGACGGTAAGCCAGCTGTATTCTGTTCCACTTTCCATCACTGTTGAAGTCAGAGACACATATAATATTGAGACCGCATTCCATCTAGGGACACCAATAAGCTGGCCGTAGCCTTCCACGGTGCTATTGTCTGTGTACATTACCTTTGTCCCATCCCATACAAAACCCAGAAACAGTCCTGAGAGTAGATGATCAATGAGGGATGTAAAGGCATGTACAGAAGTCCCAACTCTGGACCACTGGGCTAAGGGTTTCTCAAAGGCAGAAGTGCTGGAGACAGGGAGGGGAGAGTGAGGCTCTGCCAGCCGACACCACATCTGTAGCAATCCATCACTTGTCTCTCAGGATCCAAAAACTGCCGCGACTGCTAGTAGCCTCCTCCGATGGACACCTTTACATCTACAATCTGGACCCTCAGGACGGAGGGGAGTGCGTCTTAATCAAAACCCACAGGTGAAGATTCCAATTGCCAAACAGCTGTTCAGGAACAGGTGTGCAGAGCTGTCTCCGTGTTGGGGACAGTGACCTGCTCCAGGGTTCTTGCTGCCCCTGCTCCTTCCTGGTGTCTCTGTAGCAAGCCCCCAGCAGGCTTTGCTTCAGCTCAGACTCACTGTCAGGTACCCACCCACCCCCTCAGCCTACTGTCTGTCCCCTTTGGAACAGAGCCCAGATACAAAACATAATACCCCAAATGAGTTGCCCCCTGCCCCCCGCTCAGCCCTTAAGAACACAGTGAATAGTCAAAAATGTTCACAGAATCAGATTTCAAAGTTCCTAGAATTCTGTGACATTTGTGGGCTGACCAGTGGTGGACTGGATTCTGTGAGCTGCCACGGCACCTCACCCACAACCTTGTGAGCATGTCTTGGCGTTCTTGCCTGAATGATCCAGAAGAGCAGAGGGCAGGGCTTTGCTTACTCTTGTAAGGGATGGGTCATGTTGAAGGTGCATGGCTGACCTACTTGGGTACATGCTGATCTTACAGTGTCCTGGCAGGTCTGTAATTTACCCTCAAATAGCAGAGCGAGAGCCACCTCGCCCTTTTCCGTGTGAAGGTGTTGTGGAGATGCGCTGCTGATTCTTCTGTTCTTCCTCTCCTTAATTGCTGCAAGTAGTTTGCTCAGCTCAGGAACAACAGAAGACAACAAAGAGAACGACCTCAGGCCTTCCTTACCTCCGTCTTACGCAGCAACTGTAGCAAGGCCCAGCACGTCCGCAGCCTCCACTGTGCCAGGTGAGCGCCGAGGCGCCCAGCTCCAGGCTGCTGCTTATCTCAGGGTGACTCTCCGAGGTTGTTTCCTTGCTGTGAGGCCTGGTAATAGTCTTCAGCCTCGGGTTCCTAACAGGAGGATGTAGCCCAAGGTTTCCTTCTTCCTTCCTTCCTTCCTTCCTTCCTTCCTTCCTTCCTTCCTTCCTTCCCTCCTTCCCTCCCTCCCTCCTTCCTTCCTTCCTTCCTTCCTTCCTTCCCTCCTTCCCTCCTTCCCTCCTTTTTTCTTTTTTGTTTTCTTTCTTTCTTAAAGACAGGGTCTCACTATGTAGACCAGGCTAGCCTGGAACAACACTGTGTAGACCAGGCTGGCCTGGAACTCACTGTGTAGACCAGGCTGACCTCAAACTCACAAAAATCTGCCTGCCTCTGTCTCTGGGACTAAAGGCTCCAATTAATAAGCAATAACCCTTCACTTCTTGAAGAATTCCAAAGAGCTGGAGTTTCAGATGGGAGGTGGGTGAGACCTGCCTGTCTCTTGGGGCTCAGGGACAAGCTAGTGAGAGGATTTAGACTCAGCCTGAGCTGTCCCTCTGTCTGGGAGGCAGAGATGCATCCACCCATTGCCTTCATTCTCCCTTCCTCAGGTCCTGACCCCCCAGCACTCACCATGGGCTGCCGCCTCTTTCATTTCTAACTCTTGCCTCCAGGTTACTCTGAGGACGGTGGGGCGCTTCGAGGGGAAGTTATTCCGGAACACGAATTTGCAACGGGACCAGTGTGTCTTGACGATGAGAATGAGTTTCCCCCTGTGAGCATTCGGAACCCTTAACAGAGTTACTCCATCTGTATGCCTGGAAGAAAGCTTTGCCTCCCACAGGAGGCAAAGTCACTGGCCCGTGCTCTAGCTCCTAACCACTAATCCTCTTTCAAACGCAGAGTCCTAGGGTACCCACTTTGCAGTTTCAGATCCCACAGGCTACCCAGTTGGTGTGGTGCTTGAAGCCTGACAGCATTACCATAACCAAATACTAACCTGGGTCACCAGAGACCCAGACTCCTTGCCTCTGCCTCTGTACATCCACTGCCTTTGCCGCTTGTGAGGTCGGGGTTTACGCCTGTGTCTGGTTTTCAGAAGCACCTAGGAATGCCCTTGTAGAATGCTGCCTGTTACTTGTTATAGTGAGTGAAAGGGGCATGTTTGGGACTCTGAGCCGGCTGCAGGAACTGACCTGTGCCCTGCCTGCAGCTCTGGCACTGCACTCTTGAGCATCCCCAGGAGCTGCGGGCACTCACCAGGAAACAGCATGTACAAAGCCAGTGTGGGTGGCATGGGCTCACGTGGACACCTTCAGCAAGGCTTCCCAGCATCCTACTTCGGCTGGCTGGCAGTGAGAGATGCCAGAGGTGGCTGAGCACCTGACTTGGCTTCTACCGACAGCTGGAGGAAAGACCCTCTCCCGACACCATGGAGACTATCAGGGCCTCTTTAGCTGCTACATCTTCAAGCAGTATGCACCCCTCCTGTGAACTTCAGTTAGAAAACGCACTAGTGACTAGGGTGTGGCTCAGTTGGTCGAATGCTTGCCTATGCATGAAGCCCTGGGTTCAGTTCCCAGCAGCACATAAAACTGAACGTGATAGTGCACACCTGTAATTCTAGTAGTTGGCAGGTGGAGGAGGGAGGATCAGACATTCAGAGTCACCTTAGCTACACAGTGAGCTCAAGGCCAGCCTGGGCTACCTGAGGCCTTGTCTCAAAAAGGAAAAAAAAAAAAAGAAAAAGAAAGTCCCAATAGGCAACTTGAAATCATTTCAGGTGGATACAAGGCCATGTCAGGACTTAGGGAATAGAAAGAAGTGGTCCTGTGGGCCCTGAAGTGGGTGAGGCCCCTTCTCATGTGAATAGGAGGTGTTTATGACTTCCATATTGGCTTTGTAGATTGCAGTTTGAAATTTACATTTTTGGACTTTCATGGACAAGTTGCCAAATATATTGCCGCCAAGCAACAGTTATATATTAATGGTGGAAAGGAGCAGTTCTTAAAATAAAACCTAATTGTGTATTTTAAGACAGCCATTGGCTGCTGCCTAACAGTTGCCACCTAAACCAGTGGTGCCGTTGGGCTCCATGCCCACTTAGATGCCACCACGATGCCACCTAGAACTCTAAAAGTTTCTCTGAAAGTTCGTGGGTATTTAACTATTTAGCTGGCATTACCTCCTCCAGGAGCCAGAGCACTCTAGGTCAGACAGTGGGGACAAACATGACCAGAACATCCTATTCTGCCAAGGTCTGATGCCCGCTCAGTTCTGTTTGGCAGTTTTGGTAAAAATCTGAGACGGCTGTAGAAGATTCACACATCCCGAATCAGTCTTCACTGCAATCAGAGCAGAGCCTGCAGCCTCCTGTGTTTACAGAATTAGAGTAACTTGAACATTGGCGTGTAGGAGGTAGTCCCTTGCTGGAGGAGGAAAACAATAACCCCGAGTAAGCTATTTCCTGGAGAGGAGGAGAATCAGAGACGCTTAATTTAAGAACTAGTGTTGAGGGGTATGGACTAATGATGTCTTATATGCCTAGCATGTAAGAGGCTCTGAGTTCCATGCTCAGCCCCCCATACATATGCACATGTATGTGCGTGTACATGTGCTCACACGCACACATACACACACACATCCAAAACTACTAATGTTCAGATGTGTCTCACCTAAACACTACCAGGTCATCAGATACAAACCAGCTGTCCTATCTCCCTCTTAAGGAGCAAATTTGTGAAAGTTGGCTTAAACTGCATTTCGAATTCTTGTCTAGGCTAGGGATGTGGCTAGCTCAGGAGGCAATGGACTCTGGGTCCATCCCCAGCCTCAAAAAAAAAAAAACTGTTTATACACAAGAAATTCTTCCTGCCAGTAAATGTTCGTGAGAAAACAAGTTCCCAGAACTGTTAGAGTCCAGCTAAGTTGGCACAGCTTCTGGGTACCTGCAGGTGCTGGGTGTCATGGTGGCCACCAGGCCCAGCCTAGCCCATGGCCTGCAGGAATATGGATGTTCCAACTGAGGTCCTGGGTCAGCAGCAGGCAGGCTTCTCTGTCTCCAGGCACAGGAGCAGAGGCGAGAGCCCTGCTGGGTTGCTGCTTGGCACAGCCATTTCAGTCATGCCCCTGTAGCCTAAGTGTTGGACTGGGCTTGCTAGGAAAGCCTCTATCCCTGCCTGTATTCTGAATTGCATGCCTCTTGCAAATACTTTCCCAGAATCCATATCTTTACTCACAATTCTTTAGAAGTTTCTGAGACTACAAAAGAATCTTGGGAGTCTCAGCTTAGCCAAAATCACTTCCCCTCTGGGTAAGAACATTGAGCTCACTGGTGGAGTCAGCCTCAGGCCCCTGGGCCTCTGCCTTAAGCCCATGAGTTGCCACTAGCTTCCTTTATAAAGTAGACTGCCACTCCCCCGCCCCGCAACACCACTTTCCTCTTTGGGATTGACTTCGCTTCAAGACCAGCAAGAGAAAAGCAAGCTCATCATCTCGTGCCCTGGGAAGAGGCTTCGAGACCAGCTTTTGCTTCGTTAGCAAGCCAGCATGCAGTCTGTTGATTCTGTGACACTAATATTAACCTTGTGAGCAAAAGAACAGCAACTCGGACCAAGAACCCATGCTGACGTTTTGTGTTCTTTTTACAGTCATTTAGCAGTCAATGTTTACAGTAAGATGAGCCTTTAAAAAAGAAAAAGCACATGTACACAAGCACACGTGCACACATACAGTTTTTAAACAGTATTGTTGGGATCTGTGCCACCACTGTCCACACCTACATAAGATGGGTGGACTTTCCCATGGCCATGAGTGCGGGTCAGTCTGTGGTCATATATAAACGTTTCAAAAGGCCCAGCCTCCCCTGCTGACCCGAATAGCACAGACCCGTGGGTAACCCAGCCTCTTCCCTGAGTAAGAGTAAGGCCGTTCTGTTTTGATTTTGGTAGATAATCTTGTGCCGCGGAAGTCAGAAGGGCAAAACGAAGCAGTCCTGACAAGAAGCGCACCCCAGAAGTCAGGACACCCTGTCGGGTGGTTTTGGAGAGAACAAGGACAGTGGAAGAAACGGAGTGCAATCACTTGTGTGAGCAGAGAGGGAGGGGAGGCAGGGATCCTGGGTGCCTCGCTGCCTGAGCCGTAGACCATGGTTAGCCCCCCACCCAGCCCCCTCAGCCTTGGCTGCCAGTGGGTGAGGAGAACGTTGGAGTCACATCATGCTGTTTAAAATACCTTCAAACCAGTGTAAATGCTAACTAACCATATTGGTATATAACCGGAATTTTATATTAAAAAGGGCATCCTTGTCAAATATATGCTGTGTAAAAAAAAAAAATGTACTTAGTAGGAAATCCCTTTGAATTGTGTTTCTTGTATATTACAGACATAGAGAGAGAAACTATTTTAACCAGGCAAAGTATTTTTGCAGTGATTGGAATAAATCGTTTATTACCCTTGAGTCCCATTCAGGACACTAATTAAATAAAATCATGGCATGCATTTGTGAGTTGTTTACGTTTCTTTGTTTTATTTCTTGGAAGTTTTAGGGGCTGGGAAGAAATCTTAAATGTTATTTTAAAAGTGTTGCCTACATGTATGTATGTATGTGTACCATGTGAATGTCTGGCATCCTCAGAGGCCAGAGGAGAGTGGTGGGTCCCCTAGAACTAGTCTTATACACAGTTTAAGCCACCATGTAGGTATTGGAAACTGACCCCAGATCCAGTGCTCTTAACTGATGGGCCATTTCTTCAGCCCCAGACTCCTGAATCTTTATAGTGTAGCCATGCAACATTTACATGAGAGAAGGACCATGAGTTCTTCTGCTCCAAGGCCTAGGAAGACCTAACTTTGGTTTAGCTCTGCGCTGCTCAAGGCATCTCAAAGGAATCCAGCAACAGTGTAGTCTCCCAGACCCCCCTCTAGATCTCCTGAGCCAGATTCTGCATTTTGCAAGATTCCCTGGTGATCTGTATGTGTATTGAAGACGGCCAAGCTCTACATACCAGCCAGAATGAGTTTCTGCTCCAGTGACCAGTGAAACTGGGGACACAAGAGAGAAACTAAAACATTAAGGACCTGCTTGGGATCTGCTTGGTGCTGGGGATACACAGGCGACTTCATATGTCACATTAACCTTCAAAATCAACTTGCAATTGAGATTTAAGTCATTGCCCAAGTTTAAAACCTAGGACTTGGACCTGTGCGGTGACTCCATAGCCCACTAGAGCTCAATCATGCCATGCCCACTGTATGAGTGCTTGAAGCTTCTCAAACCTGCCTGTGGAGGGGGCAGTCTACACAGAGAGAGGGAAAGTTACAGCTTCTAAACCAGATTCTGCAACTTCCTTCCTAAAGTAGACATCCACGTCCAAAATGAAGTTTGGAAGTGAACCTAACCTCTCTGAAATTTACAGATCACCTTTCTCATGGGAAAAAGAACGACCAGTCACACAGTTTGGCAACGGCAGGCAATTTGGTAGGGGTCACAGCAGGGGGTCACTGAAGGATCCTGAGTGTAGTCTGCCTGGGAGCTGTTGTCATGAGCAATGTCAAGAAGGGCATCTGCAAGAATCCTGGTGATCTTCGGCAGCACCGCCTGGTACTCAGAGCTTCCTCTCTGTAGAGGCACAGCTTCTGCGGCATCATCTTCTAGGTTGAAAATGAGAGGGGATGTGTGGTGTTGCTCAGGACCCATGCTCCCATCACAAGCTTTGGCTCCACCTACAGGAAGGATGACCAAAATTGTTAAACCCAACCTTTACCCTGAGCTGCAAAAGGGGACATCCATGGTTAACACACTAGCCCTGGATATTCAAATGACTGCTCTTCCTGCCAAATAAATTACCTTAAGATTCACGTCTGTCTTTCCAGTGATGATCGTCTGTCCAGAGGGATTAGGTCTGCTCGCTTGGAATTACCTTCCGAACCAGTGGACATCTGTTTCAAATACCTTTCATCTCTGGCCTTTGAGAGTAAATCTCACTGGATTTTTAAAAACGTAACTGGAGAGGGGGAGTTGTGCCATGGCACACACACTGAGGTCAGAGGATGGCTTAGTGGAGTCAGTTCTCTCCTTCCACTGTGAGTTCAAGCAATCAAATGCAAGTTTTCAGGTTTGTGTGGCAAGAGCTTTTGATCTACCAAGTCATCTTGTTGGCCCCTAAATCTGACATTTTTGAACACTAATTTTGCCAATGGTGATTGTTGAGTTTGGTGGATGTCAAGATGGTTAATTTTCCTGAGCTGAAGATGAAGATGTTACAGCCTCTCTACAGGTGTCTACAACCTTGCCCAGTCTGAGGACATTCTTACAACAGAAAAATACAACTGTGATTACAAGGGTCCAGCTGTGGTGTGCTCTCACCTCAGGATGACAACACAATGCCACAGCTCAACTCAGCAAAAACAAATCTGGAGGGACCAAGGCCAGCACTCCACAGACACAGCTTTCTGGTCCAGTATGGATGGAAATGAAATGGGAACTCTCAAGAGGAATGAGTAGATCTCGTCAACAGATCAAAGCCTCCATGAGAGGTTTTCCCCCCATAACACACACTTGGGTTCAGCAGAGACTAGGTATTACCATCTTTGTCTAGAGTTGATAAAAATTTGACTCTCCATCACCAGCAAGGAGCACTTGAAGTTACACAAGTTTTGACAGTCAATCAAGCGAAAGCTGGGAGTGACTCATAAAAGTTAAATAACCATTGAGTATGGTGATACAAGCCTTTAACAGCAGCATGTGGGAGCCAGAGGCAGGCAGATCTCTGTGAGTTTGAAGGTTTGAAGCCACTTGGATACACACACACACACACACACACACACACAAATTTTTTCCCAAGCTAGAGCAACGTCATGGGGCATGGTGGAGCATGTCTGGAATCCAGAGGTGGAGACAGGAAATCAGGCGTTCAAGACCAGCCTTGGCTACAAAGTGAATTGAGGCCAGCCTGAACTACATGAGACCTAATCTTAAAAACAATTTAAAAACCAATGACACCAGGCACATGATGAATGGCTCAGCACAGAAAAATGCTTCCCACATGAGCCAAAAAACAAACAAACAAACAAACAAACAAACAAAGTCAGATCCCCAGAACCCACACAAAGAATGGTACAGAGGCCACACATGTAGTTAGCCTCTACATGTGTGCCATGACACACACAGACCTGCAAACATACATCACACAGAGCAATAATAAATCTCTCTTAAGGCAAGAGCACACTAGTGTGCTTCAAGCTACCATCCTCTAGCTGGCAAAATGAATTCTAGGCAACGTATTTGAGCAAATCAATAAAAGCACTGTAGTGGAATAAGCAAGATAGGCAGAGGCTGGAAGGGACTCAACCCTGCAAAGAAGAAAGCCACACAGTATTAGACCTGGTTCAAAGTTGTGTCCAACCCCCCCCCTTCCCCCACCCCTCCAGAGGAAAGCTGAGGCAGCTTAAGGTGTCAGAGTTTATGGTCACTATGAATGATGAAAACTGACAGGTGAAATCCCAAGAGGAACACAGCCATAGAGTACAAGCCTCGAAATCTCTGTATAAACTCCTGTGAATCCCTGGCTGACCCCTGAAAGAATGCCTGCCCAGAGAAAGAGAGCCCATCAGCAGAACTGGATGACCAAAATAGCAGGCGCTTCTGGGGCCACAGGGAAGCAGAGTCTGGAGTACTGTTATATGACAGAAATGAGCCAGGCATGATGGTGCAAGCCTATAATCTCAACATTCAAGGGACAGAGACAGGAGGACCAAGAGTTCCAGACCAGCCTGGCCTATATAGTTCAAGACCATCCTAAACTCAAAGTGAGATCCTCTTTTAAGAGGAAAAAAAAAAAACAGATGTGGAAAAGCAAAAGAAAAACAAAAATCCCCTTCTTGTCTGCTACTGACATCCCCACAAAGTTCAGGTGAGGCATAGAAATCAGAGCCCGGGGGCTAGGGACTTTTCTAAACTAAGGACAAAATCTGAAAGGCAAATCGTAAGGACGTAAAACAAACCCTTCCCAAGTTCAAGAGAATGGACTGTCATTGACATCCCTTGATAATAAAAGCCAACACGCAGTAGTCGGTCTCTACCATGTTTCACCAACAAGGCCCAATGCACAATTTTTAAACAACTACACAGGAGGCTCTGGCCGCCACTGTGGCCCAGAAGCAGTGTGGAAGCCACCACTCCGTGCAAAAGCAGGAGGGAACACAACGTACTAAAAAATGAACAGTTTCCATCAGCTCTGAGACGTGCACAGATGGAGCAAACCCTGCCCAGGGTTGAAGAGGTGGTGGGCAGAGAGCTGTGACTGGCCACAGCACAGACCACTATTGGAGCAGTGCGAGCGGGGCAAGGAACTCTTTGACGGACAAATCCCAGGGGGATCTCGTCATTGCTACTCCATGCTTTCTGGATGCTGTCATTCTCTCTCCGCCACTGGGTCTAGAGAATCAAGCCCAGGCAAAAGCATCGTACCCCTAAGATGCATCCCTACCCTGGACGCCTCCTGCTTTTTGTGAATTTTAACTCCGGGAGCTCAGGTAGGTCTCATAATAAATGCTATAATAAATTCCATTGTTCCTGGTGCAGGAAAGGAAAACTATCATTTAAAAAGACAATTTCGGGGGCTGGGGGGATGCAAGAGAGATGGCTCAGTAGTTTAAGAGCCCATACTGCTCTTGTAGAAGACTCAAGTTCAGTTCCCAGCACCCACATCAGGTGGCTCAAAATTGCCTGTAGCTCTGCCTCCACAGGGATCTGCCACCTCAGGCTCCCATGAGCACCTGCACTCACACACACATCTACACACACACACACACACACACACACACACACACACACACACACACATACAATTAAAACTAATAAAAATAGCCAGGCTGTGGTGGCGCACACCTTTAATCCCAGCCCTCAAGAGGCAGAGGCAGGAGGATCTCTGTGAGTTCTGGGCTAGCCTGCTCTACAGAGCAAATTCCAGAACAGCCAGAGCTGTTACACAGAGAAACACTATCTCAAAAAAACAAAGAAATATGATAATGATAATAATAATAATAATAAATATTCACATACATGCAACAGTGGGAGCTAGAGATGGCTCAGAATTAAATTGGACTCTTACTAAAAATTACACACAAAAGTTAACTTCAAATGGCTCCAAGACCTAAATGTAAGACCCCAAACAATAAAAACCCTTAGAAGAAAATACAGGGAACTATTTATTTATTTATTTGTTTGTTTGTTTGTTTGTTTGTTTTGGGGGGGTTTCGAGATAGGGTTTCTCTGTGTAGTTTTGGTGCCTGCCCTGGATCTCGCTCTGTAGACCAGGCTGGCCTCGAACTCACAGAGATCCGCCTGGCTCCGCCTCCCGAGTGCTGGGATTAAAGGCGTGCGCCACCACCGCCCAGAGCAGGGAACTATTTTTACAACATTGGCAATGACAAATAGTTTCACAGGTAAATTTAATCAAGCAAGAAAGGAGTAGCACCAGTGTTAGGAAGCCTTCGAAAAAACAAGAGACTCATCCCAAACCAGCGAAACCCTTATGCCAAACCTTGACACATGCTTTACAAGAAAGAAAATTATAAGCAAAATCCTAGCAAATAAAATCCAATAATATAGGTGTATGTACTTGATATAAACATATATACTTATGTATACACAACACCATGACTGGGTGGGCTTATTTATTAATGTAGAGTTGGCTTAAGAACTGGAAATCAGCCAATATTCATTGTCTTCACTAGCTTTTGTTGCCATGACAAAATGCCCAAGGCAGATAACTTAATGAGGACTTAAGCCTTACTGGGGCTCATGTTTTCAGAGCTTTTGGTCCATAGTCAGCTGGCTCCCTGCCTCTTAGGATTTCTGCAAGGCCAAAGCATCAAAGGGAAGCTGCTTATCCCAGAGTGAACAGGAAGCAGAGAGAAAGGCAGCAAGATACACCCCTTAAAGGTGCATGCTCAATGACCTTCCTCCAAACTGGCCCTGCCTCCCGAGAGCCTATAGTGCTGGAAAGTCATCGATGGGTTAATCCACAGGTGAGATTCACATTTTTATGATCTAAGCATCTTCCAAAAGTCTCACCTCTCTACACTGCTTATCAAGGGCCAAGCTCAACATGAGCTTTTGGGAGGACACACTTTGTATCCATGACATCAATCCACAGCATTATGCAGTGTGTACACAGGTATACACATTTAGATGTGCATCTATCACTGTGTGTAAAATCTGCCCTACTTTTACATTATCATTTATTTATGCATGTGTGTGCATACCTCTGCATACGTGCATGCACGTGTGTGCCTGTGTGTGTATGTGTGTGTGAGTGTGTGTGTGTAATCATTCCTGGGAGGTGGTGTGGGGATACAAATCACCACCGAGCATATGTGGAGGTCAGAGGACACCTTCCATCATGTAGTCTTTCCAAATTGAACTCAGGACATCAGTCCTGCCAGCAAGTGCTCTACCCAGTCATCTGGACTGGCCTCTAACTACTTTAAAAGCAGCAAAGAGTAGCTATGGAGATGTATCAGCAGGTACAAGGCTTGCCATGCAAGTGTGAGGACCAGAGTTCGGATCTCCAGTGCCCATAAAAACAATGGGTGGTTGTGGAAGCCCACCTCTAACCTCAGCACTCAGGAGGCAAAGATAGTATCTCCAAAGCAAGCTGGCCAAGCTGGCAGAATCAGTGAGGTCTGGGTTCAAGTGAGAAATCCTGCCTCACTGTCTGAGATGGAGAGTAATCAAGGAAGATGCCTGATGTAAAAACTCGAGTGTGCACACACACACACACACATACACACACATACACACACATACACACACACACACACACACACACACACACACACACACACACACACACACGCTAAAAGAAAAAAAGAAAGAAAAGAGATGATTTTTGAAAAGAGGGGCAGGGAGGAAAACCAGTGAGGTTCCCTAGTTCTAGGCTGAACACCAAAAGACTGGTTATCCTCCAAGGCCACTCCAACGTCATGGCCCAACATCATCTCCCCATCGGAGAACATATTGTTCTCCATCCTAATGGAGTAGATGCCCATTCACCTGCCTTTCCCAAATGCAGTTTTAAGTAATCAGGATACAAATTTTTTTAAAAGTGTGGGGAGGACCCAGAACATGGCAGCATCTCACCCTGTTAGCAGTTTCCCTCAGATGTATGGAGAGCTCAGTGACCCCGTTCCCACCCTGGCTCTCCTTCAAGTTGGGGTTGTCATTCCTCTCTGATTGTGATCACTTTACACGGCCCTATTACTTCATGGTAAGGTTTACGATTCCAGTATCGTGGTGCCACGGGCTTTCTGGCAGGGTTCTCTCTGCATGAAGTCAGTTCAGCCTGGAGGGCCCATGCCTCTTAGATAATGTAATGTAAGAACTCTGATCCCTGAACTGTCCCTCTGAGACCATAGCAAAGATCTGACTATTTTGTCTGAGGTTTAGGAACCAAAGATTCTTGAAGCATTTCTAAGATCCCCGGAGCTGTGAACTCAAAGGGCTTGTTCTGGTTTTGCAACCACATTTTACACTCAGAAAATAAATTCTGTGTTTCTTTTTTTTAATGATATAGTTCTTTGAAAATCTCCAACATGAAATAACTAAGTCAAACTGAAATCTCCATTGAGTTCTAGTCAGAGTTTCTCATCTATTGTTATTTTGTTTTGTTTTTCTCTGATTAACTTCAAAATGTTAGAGCTCCAACTAAGTGAAAAATACTGGGACAACCATTTCAAGACCATAGAGTTTAATTTTTTAATTTTATTTGTGTGCACGTGTGTGCATACATGCCTATGCATATGCATAGATGTGGGGGCAAGGGTGTGTGTGTATGTCTTATGTGTGTGGTGTGTGTGTGTATGTGTGTGTATGTGTATGTATGTGTGATGTGTGGTGTGTGTATGTGTGTGGTGTGTGTGTTTGTATGTGTGTGTGTATGTATGTGTATGTATGTGTGGTCTGTGTGTGTATGTGTATGTATGTGTGATGTGTGGTGTGTGTGTGTGTGTGATGTGTGGTGTGTATATGTGTGATGTGTGTGTGTATGTGTGTGTGTATGTATGTGTGATGTGTGGTGTGTGTGTGTGTGATGTGTGGTGTGTGTATGTGTGATATGTGTGTATGTGTATGTATGTGTGGTGTGTGTGTGTGTGTGTATGTATGTGTGATGTGGTGTGTGTGTGTGTGATGTGTGGTGTGTATATGTGTGATGTGTGTGTGTATGTGTATGTATGTGTGGTGTGTGTGTGTATGTGTATGTATGTGTGGTGTGTGTGTGTGTGTGTGTATGTATGTGTGATGTGGTGTGTGTGTGTGATGTGTGTGTGTATGTGTATGTATGTGTGTGTGTGTGTGTGTGTGTGTGTGTGTGTGTGTGTGTGTATGTATCCATACCACAGCAAATGTGTAGAGGTCAACGAACAACCTAAAGAATGGCTCTTCCCTTCCACCGTGTGGATGCCTGGGATCAAACTCATGTCAGCAGGCTTGGAAGCAAGTACCTTTACCCACTGTGGATGTCAATTTGACACAAACTGAAGTTTGGAAAAGAAAAAGTCCCCTCATTGGGAAAGAGGGAACCTCAATTGGAAAAGAGAAAGAAAAAATACCTCCATAAGATTGGCTTGTTGGCAAATCTGTAGGACATTTTCCTGATTAACGACTGACATGTGAGGACCCATCCCATGGGGGGTGGTGCCACCCCTGGGCAGGTGGTCCTGGGAGGGATAAGGAAGCAAACTGAGCAAGGCCCAGAGAGTAAGCCAATAAACAACAATTTCCATGTCCTCTGCCTCAGTTCCTGCCTTGAGTTCCCATCCTGACTTCCCTCTGCGATGAACTGTGACCTAGGATGTGGAAAGCAAATAAACCCTTTTCTCCCCAAGCTGCTTTTGGTCATGGTTTTCATCACAGCAGTAGAAAGTAGACTGGAACACCCACTAAGCCCCCTCACCAGCCCCAGGTGACATTTCTAAAATGGACACACAGGACAGTCACTGAGTGGACCAAGGAGCAGGGAAACGTCTGTTGGTCTGCTGCGTAGACATTAAGAGTCTACCTTCCGAAACAGTTTATTGCCAAATAAATGACACTTTTGAGGGTCTCTGAGTTCCTATTTCATCAGCAGCCAAAGTGGCACCTAAAGCCTAACTTGGAGCAAACTGTTCTCTGGGTGAAAGGGGTGAAGAAGAGGCCAGAGCCCTGAGCCTGCTGCAGGAAGGCCTTGTTTCCATTCTGGTGGGTCCTCCTGCCAAACTCAGGTTCAGTCGGCAGTCAGAGGCACATGCTGTAAGCTCCTCAAAGAAGAGAGCCGTACCCACTCTCACAGGGAACCCCTAAGGTGTGCACATGGGAGGTAGGGTGAGAGGCTCAACTTACCAGTAACGTAGAAGGCCTTGTGATGGTCCAGGCGGACGGTCTGCAGGGCTCCATACTCTCCAGCAGCCCCACTGTTGGGATGGAATAGTACCTGAGAAAGAGACGGCAGCTGTGTCTAAGAGAACCATGCCAGGCCAGCAAGATGGCGCCACAGGAAAATGTGTTTGATACACACGTCTGATGACCTGAGTTCGATCCCAGGAACCCAAATAAAAAGCCAGATGCAGTGGTGCACATCTGTAATCTCAGTGCTCCTCCTGCAAGATGGGAAGCAGAGAGAGAGAATCGGCTAGAAGCTCGAGGGCCAACTGTGCTTGAGTATGACACAGCGTAGCAACAGGACCAGCAAGAGAGACCTCATCTCGGCAAAGTGGAAGGTCAGAATCGACTCTCAAAAGTTGTCCTCTGACCTCCACAGGCAGATGTGGCACATCTGCCTCCCCAAGACACATACTACATATATACCTACGTACACATGAAAGGAAATCGTCATGGTCTGCTCCATCCCCCATGCCCCTACCCATACCCCTAAATACTCACCGTCAAGGACAAGCCTGCAGCTGATGCTGACCAACTCCTGGGAGCCACTGTGAAATTTTCATTTCACTAGGTACTTAGGAGGGATGGTCTACAACGCTGTGCAGCTGAAAGATCTCACGGGCCCAATGCCAGCACTGTAATCTTCAGGGTTCTGAGTGCCGGGGGCTGGTGCTTTTTAATTTCACAAATTAAAAATTCCAACACAGCCACAACAGCACTTTAAACACCCCTCAGGGCCCTTCTCTGAGAGGAGCTTCTTATAGCTGCTTGGGTCATACACCCAGGAGTCCCATCTGCAGCCACCACTTAGGTGCGGAAGGCAGCCTGGAAGCAAAGATGGCTTACAAATATCCCGGGCCTTATGATGAAGTCCTGGCTCCTTCAGCCTCAGATTGCCTTTCTAACTCTCTTCAGCAAGAATGGCATAAGAACAGTTGCCACCTCTGGACCTTTTATTTCAGTACTGGGGATCGAACCCAGGCCCACACACAGACTAGGCACACACTCTGTCCTGAGCTATGGCTCCAACCCAAGCCTAGCCTGAACACAGACACCTATGACTCAGTCCTACTCTACTGCTGAGGAAATCTTTCCTGATTCAGTCAGACATGGAAGAATTACCCTGAAGAGCGGAAACACCTAATTCAGAGGTCCCAAGGGAAGGACTTGGTAGGAAATAAAAGACCAGCATCGTTGGTAGGTTGGTGGGTTTGGGCTGGAGGCATGAGACTGCCCTGGTATGAATCATGTCCATATATATTGCTGGGAAGGCACTTACGTGATTCAAAGTTTCCGTGGGGCTTGGGGAAAAAATAATGAGAAACATCTGTTTGAGAGGGAAACAGCTGCCCCCCTCTCCCAAGTTTCAGTACCCTGAGAGGATGCTGCCCTGGGCAGGGCTCCCCAACACCTGCTGCTTCCCCATCCCCCATCAACCCTACAAACACCCCCAGCAGGCTTCCTCCAAAGAAGAAACAAAGTCATTACTGAAAACCTCACTTCTTCCATCCCCAGAAAGCCACGCCTGTCACAGCAGGACACTGCTTTGTTTCCTTAAGGGGGGGTGGGAGGGGCATGGGACATGACACCCTGGACAGACACAGGACATGGAACATCTGTGATAATGCTTAGACCCCCAGAAGACACAGTCAAGGTCGGTCTCTTCAAACCATGGTATCATTTGGAGCTCAGTAACAGAACCTCCCGAAGGAGAGGCTGCCACATTCAAAAGGTATAAGTAGCACTAGCAGAAACGTCCAAAACCTAAGAAACAAAACTGAAATGGCCTATTCTTAGAGATGGGGGTGGATTTTGAGACACTCATATAAGCCACCCCACTTGGAGCTGACTGTTGACGGCTTTCTTGTTTACGTCAACATAGGAAGAAGATTGTAAGCTTACACGCCATCGTGGCTGAAAATATTTCCTCTCCAGACGTCTGTTCCACAGTTCAAAGCCAACTGACTTTATCTTCTGCAAACCTGCACAGACTTCTTGGTTCCTTTTCTTTCCTGTGTGCTGCTCTGCTTTGCTACATTTTTGTTGTTTTGTTAAGCATGGGAGTGTCACCCTGCACAGTATTATCTCCTGGGGTGTTCTCCTGCACCCCATCAGGCCGGGGTGTACACAGCTTCAAGTCTCCAAAAGCAGGGGTAGGGGAGAGGGATGTCAATCATTTGCATGTCATGCTCGGTGACACATTTCGCCACTAGGGGCCTCCCTAAGAGAAGTGATGGGTGTTCACAGTTCCTCGATGTATGGCTTCTGGGTGTGCCGACTATTTATAGCCCACAGCTGGCCTATATTGGAGTGGACTACATAGATGCAGAGGTATTGAGGAAACTTTCCCTTCATTGACAATATTTGGACCTGGTCATGAAAGATGTGACTTAATCACTCATGAAGTCACCACCTCCAGCTTCCATCTTTGAGTCAGGACACTAGAAAGTGGGCCACTACACTAGGTTCTGAAATGTGTACCTCTCCCCTCTCAGGCTCTCAGCCCTCTCTTTTAGTTGCTCTCCCTGCCTATTCACAGACTCATCAGTGTCGGAGGCAAAGGGTTAAATATGCAGAGCATGCAGCCAGATGTCAGCTACTGCGGGTTTGGAACATCACAGAGACGACGACCTTCCTAGAGGGAGTGAGGTCATAGGTATGAAAACTAGCAGCCACTGTTTGCCTCATGCCTCTCATTCCATGGCCCTGCTGAATGAGAGGATGTCTACACTGTTTCTCTCTTCAGCTCTGGGCTACCCTCGAAATGCAGAGAAGCCAACCGCTGAGACAGACACATCTGTGTAATGTTTTGAGCTGACTGTCCAGGAAGTTCTTTGGGCTTCTAGAAACTGGAATGGTTTTCTAAACCAACCCATATTAGAATCCTTCTAAATGGAGGCCAGAGCTGTGGGTGGATACAAATTGCATTTATTAAGAGGTACAAGGGGCTAGACAGATGGCTCAGTGGTTAAGAACAATTCCTGCTCTTGCAGAGGACCTGGGTTTGGTTCCCAGCACCCATATTGAGGCTCACAACTGTCTGAAACTCCACTTACAGGGGATCTGATGTCTTCTTCTGATGACTGTGGACACCGTATACAAGTAGTGCACCCACATAAACTCAGGCACACATGATGTACATAAAATAAATATCTTTAGAGGTATACACTATGTATATGGATGATGGATGGATGGATGGATGGATGGATGGATGGATGGATGGATGGATGGATAGGTGGATGGATAGGTAGATGGGTGGGTGGGTGGATGGATGGATGGATGGATGGATGAATGGGTGGGTGGATAGATGGATGGGTGGGTGGATGGATGGGTAGATGGGTAGATGGATGGATGGATGGATGGATGGATGGATGGATGGATGGAAGGATGGGTGGGTGGATGGATGGGTGGATATATACAAAATCATTTGCTTTGATCTGCTGGCCTCCTCTAAAACTATTACAAATCCAAGACAATTTAGTCTCTTCATTCAACAGTTTAGGATGACCGGAAAAAAAACCAAACCCAAATTCATGGCCATCAACTAGCCCTGTTCTTACATTCCAAAGTCGTCTTCTCTAGAGTGTCTGTCTACATGCACACTGGAAGAAGCTGGTGCCCTGGGAGGCTGGGCACTGGACCCACGTGAAGATGCCATCAGAAGCTCCCTGTAGACAGTAGGCTGCTGCCTACTGCTAGGCCATAGGTGTGGTAAGAAAATAAACAAGCCCCACTTGGGCTAGTTACCAATACAATGTAGGTCCCTTGATGGTGTCAAGACTTGTACGTGTTTCCCCCACTTGGTTCCTGGACCTAATCCAGTGAGGGTGCACAAATCTGATGCTAAAGGAAGACACAGCTCTGTCTGGGAACAGAAGTAAGCACAAGAAGGAGTTGGCATCCACAGGTAGCCTGACCACATTAAGAAGATCACTTCCTGGTGACCCCAATTATTCTACTAGTAACCATGGCCATAGACACTCAGGAGCACCTCTCCACAGAAGTCTCGGCTAATGCTGCTAGGGTCACACAGTACTTCCGGCTTAAGGCAGAAACAGTCTTCCTATGTCATGCTGTTCCAGAGGGCCAGGCCCGGAGACTCTGCTGCTCTACAGAGGCAGACGTTCAAGAGTGACCCCAGACTCCTTCAGAGGACTGCTCGGGTCTAATCTGCCAATCGCTAAGAACTTCATCAATGTGTGAAGAAGTGCGGTGGTCCACTCAAGACCCAGGTTCTGGTTGACGTGGGAAGGTACCTCAGCGCCCACATGCGCATCTGAACCACTCCCATGTGACCCCCCTCAAAGACATAAATAGACCCTTTGAAGCATGGATTTCCACCTGGTTTGCTGGTGTTCACTGGACCTTACTCAGGGGTCTCCAAGCTCCTCCAGGCCCCACCTCTCCCCACACTTTCTCTTCCTTTTAGTAAATGGAAGACACACGGATGTGACAGGAAAAGCCTATCAGGACAGACATTTCCAGGCTGCTATTTGGTGCTTCAGAGCACTTTGAGGAGGGGACAGCAAGGATGGGATCCTGGAAAGTAGAAGCCCAGAGTCACTGCCAGGGGCTGTTAATTCAAGAACAGGCAGATAACTATGGTGGCACAGTCCTGTAATCCCAGCACACAAGAGACTGAGGCAGAAGGATTGCAAGTTCCAGGTCAGCCTGTTGCAAGGGGGTCTTTCAAAAGTAAACAAGTAAACAACAACAAAACAACAGGATGCAAAGTGTGTGTTGAGCCTTCCCAGAGTGGGGAAAATGCTGGGAACGTAGAGACCTTGCTGACTTCCATTCATTCATTCATTCATTATTTGTTTATCCACTTTGCATGCACTGGATGCTGGCTGGGTACGGATGCTGTTAGGTACATGAATACTGAAATCTGGACCCAACAGATGGGACTCTTGCCCCCAGAGAGCTTCTGTTCTAGCTGAGCCTAGAACTGCACAGGCATCTTGTCCAACAAAAATGTGTTGAGTATCCAAGTTATGTCAGAAAATTGAATGCATGCAGAAAAAGAAAACTAAGCCTTAGAGATAATAAAGACTCACTATAATTCTACACTAAGCCAAAATGTTAAATATAAATACAAATCTGGATTAGCAAACTGAATTATCGGAGGCAGTTCGTCTCTGAAATTCATCCCTGGGAATTTTTGCAAAGGGTTTGCACCAGCCGTTGGCATGCACCTTCTGAGGTGGTCATTTGTATCAAGGCAGCGGGTGTGAGATGAGAGACACAGCCCAGATACAAGCTTCCCCAACTTACCCTGTGCCCCGCCTGTGACCTGCCAAAGAGCACCTCAGAGGCATCAAGGCCATCGAAGTTCCGGTTTGGAGGCAAGCTGGCTCCTGCCAGGGCTATCGCCGTGGGGAAGACGTCCAGCACGCTGCAGGAAGAAGAAGACCCAGTTTGCCTCAACTCCTCCAACTCTCCCTGGCTCTCCTGTGGTCAAACCCCACCTGAAGCAGCCCAGGGCACAAGCAGACAGCCTCCTCTCCTACAGCCCACGCTGTCTGTCACTCTTTGGGGTTCTACCTGGATTTCTGCTACAAGAGGCAGGTGACAGCCAGGTGTGGCACAGACGCAAATTCAGCTTTACCACCCATCTAACCTCCAATTCTACAGTTTCCTATTCCGTAAAATGTGTGGTTTACTAACAGTAGCTGCTTCATAGGGTGGAAGTGTGGGTCAAACACTCAGGGGAAAGACACAGAAGGAGCCTGGCACTATATAATCACTAACAGGGTCACACCTTTGAACCCAAGGACTAAGAGTTGGCTGCTACCTTATCAGGAGTAGTGTGTGGCAGGGTGGCAGGTGTCTGCGAGAAAACACACGCTTCATTTTTCATTGCCTGAGTCTCTCTCTCACAGGAATATTTCGTCTTTAGCTGAAGTATGTGAAATTTTAGTTATGACGTGTGAAATACTCCACTTCTAGGACTTGGCTTTAACTCTTTTTTTTTTTTTTGCCCATGACAAAATAGTGAATGTTTTATGAGAAAAAAAACTTAGAACACACAGAAATATAAAAAGAAAACAACACATAACTAGTCTATCATTTGATGGTAACTACTGTTAGTAGTTATTCATTATTTTAAGAATTCAAATTTAGGGGCTGAAGAGACGACTCAGCAGTTAAGAGAATGAATTGTCCTTCCAGAGGACCTGGGTTCAATTTCCAGCATCCACATGGCAGTTCACAACTGTCTGTAACTCCAATTCCAGGCGATCTGATGCCCTCACACAGGCATACATGCAGGCAAAACACCAATGCACATAAAATATAAATAAATAAATAAATAAATAGATAGATAAATAAATAAATAAATAAGTAGAATTCAAATTCTTGTGTGCATGCAGTACAAACATGTGTGTATGCTTGCCCACATGTACATGTGTGAGGTCAGAGGTTAACATCAAATGTCTTCCTGTATCATTCTACATTTGGTTTCTGAGACAGACTCTCTTGATATTTCAGCTTGACCTGCCAGTGAGGCTCCAGGATCCTTTTCCCTCCAGCACTGGAGTCCCAGATGTGCCTTGATGTCCAGCTTGTACATGGGTGCTGGGGATCCGAACCCAGGCCCCCATGCTCACCTAGCAAGAGTTTTAGCCCCTGAGCCATCTTCCCAGCCCCACCCACTATTTTAACTGGTGGTCTTGTTAATGTGATTTTATTCCTTTCTGTTTTGTTTGTTTGTTAAGACGGTGGTTCATGTACCCAGACCAGCCTTGAACTCCTGACCCTCTTGCCTCTACTTTATGAGGGCTAAGATTACAGGTTGTGTCATGTGAATTTTTTTTTTTAAGTCATGTGGAACTTTATCACACTGCATATCTCCCAAAAGCCTACTGTGCTCACATCAGGAGATGGGGGTGGGTCGTCAAAAACAGCAGAGGGGCTGCCCTTTCAACAGAGCAGCTTGTAGAAGAGCCAGGGGAATTGAGAGAGCCAATGGGATTTGCCAGAACTAGGGGGCTGAGTCAACATGAATTCTGTCATGGGTTAGACTTTCCCAGAAAAGAGGTCCTGGTACCCAGAGGCTGGGACAGCATCAGAACTCAGGATCAGGGATAGGAAAGTTCTCAGGGCCATGTCTTATCAATTTATCCACCCTAAGTTCTAGGAAGTGGCTCTCTGCCTTCCATGGAGGCTACAGAGAAGATCCACCACGCAAGTAGCATCTCCAATCTGCCCACCTGCTTCTCCTCTCCAGGGCTCTGCCTATGACCTGCGGCGGAATCTCTCTCGTTGACTGTGGGACAAAGTGTTTCTATTTGCCCGCAGCTTTCACAGTTCACAAAACTGGTGGCTTATTTCTTGAGATAGGCACACCAGGAACTGGCATCCCACACTGGTGCGCAGTGAAGGCATGCAGAGTCAGCACTCAACAGAGTACAGAACAGTCTGGAAAACTGAGCAGAGTCCAAGGTTCCTGCCACAGACCAGGAAGCAAAGAGGTCTACAGTGTGGTCTGAAAAGGCTGAGATGGTTTAGGGCTATTTGTTAGAACTCATGCTCTCTCTTCTCTGTCTGTCTGTCTGTCTGTCTCTCTCTCTCACCACTAAGAGAGATCAGTATCAAACCCATAGGCAAGAAAAACAGGATCTACACTCTACAGTAGGTAGTTTTAATTTGTGTGCATATGAGCACCTGTGTGGGGGTCTGCGCACCTGGGTGGAGCTGTCTACACACCTGTATGTAAAAGGTGTTGCTGTCCTCCTCTATCACTCTCTATCTATTCCTTTGAGGCAGTGTCTCTCCCGGAACCTGGGCTGGTGTTTTCTCTGCTAGTCTGGAAGCCAGCACACCCTGCTGATTCCCCTCACTGTCTCACCCTGCCTGTCTTGGAGCTGGGGTTACAGGCATTCGTGGGCATCCAGCTTGTATGTGGGTGCTGGGGTCTAAAGCCCAGTCTTCTTGATTGCTCAGCAAATGCTCTTGACCAACACACACACACACACACACACACACACACACACACACACACACAGTCATACACTCACAAATGCTCACACACACACATACACTCACACACACATGTACACTCATACACTCACATATGCTCTCACACACGTACACTCACATATGCTCACACACACTCACACACACATATACACTCATACACTTACACATATGCTCACACACATACACTCACACACTTATACACATACACTTACAAATACACACTCACATATGCTCACACACACTCACTCACAAACACACATACACACTCATACACTCACACATGCTCACACACACACACTCACACACACACACTCACACATACTTATACACATACACTCACAAACACACACACACTCATACACTCACATATGCTCACACACACATACACTCTCACACACAATTACACACACATACACTCATACACTCACACATGCTCACACACATATACTCACACATACTTATACATGTACACTCACAAACACACACATTCATATACTCACATATGCTCACACACACATACACTCAACACACACACATACACTCAACACAGACTCTCACACATACACTCACAAACACACTCTCACACATACACTCACACACACTCATACACACTCACACACACTCACATAAATTTGAAGTGGACTGCAGGCTTTCTTTTTCCATCTTAAGAGACATCAGCATCACAGACAGGTCAAACCAGGAAGCCAGGGACACAGACTCTGAATTAAACTTTCAGAATGAATTACACACTTTCTTTTTTTCTGTCTTTTTCCTCCTCTGTATCATGAGGTTTGGCATCCTGACTCACAGCACTAATCTAAATCTAACACTCAAGGAATCCCAGTGTGTCTGGCATGTCCTTCGGAGGTTTCTAGTCTACACAGAACTCAAAGAGAACTTTCACCCACAAAGAAAACTCCTTCAACAGGTCTGGTGACTCGCACTGCTGAAGGTAGCCCAGTCCAGCCTGGGCATGCCTGGGCTGTCAGAAAGTCATTTATCTAAGAATGGCAGAAGCCCAGCCCCGAGGTTAGCAGTGGGAGAGTAAATGCTCCCTGGAACACACAGACCCAAGACTGGGCTTTCCTGTATGTGAACCTGGAGGCCAGGTCTGTCTTAATGAGGCTACTGGTGGCCCTCCAGATCTCAGTCTTAATCCAAGAAACAGGTTCTGGAAGTCTTTGAAACCTTGAAGAAGTAGAAAAAACAAAAAAGTCGAACTCCAAACCTGCCAAACCCAATGCTGCATGTCCAGCATGTTCATTCTGGTGCTTGGTTTCCTGTCAGAGCTGCGTTCTGACCTGGGTGGGCATTTTTGCTTTCATGGGTTTCTTCCTCTATTACAAAAGATGGGCTAGAAAGGTGGCTAAGTTCCTGCAGAGGGCCTAAGTTCGATTCCCAGCACCCACATCAGGCAGCCCACAATTTCCTGTAACTCCAGCCTCTGTGAGCACCTGCACTCAGGTGCACAAACCCCACCCCCCCATACACAGAATTTTAAAAAGTCTAAAAAAAGAAATTACATTTTACAACTATTGATATAAAGACAAACAGATATAAACCATTTTATTCCACTTCAAAGTATTTTTCTTTTCCTTTCTTCTTTGTTTTGCACATGTGTGCGAGAGTGGGCATATGGTATATGTACATTTATGTGCAGGTGTACATTCAGCACATGCACCAGGATGCAGAAGAGGATGTCATGTGTCCTGCTATGTCACGCTCCACCTTATTTGCTTGAGACAGGGTCTCTCACTGAATCTGGAGATGAGCTGGCAGCCGCCAAGCCTCAGTGATACTATCTCCATCCCCTAGAACATTGGGGTTATAGGCATGCCTTCGGCTATTTCAGGGTTTTTATGTGGGTTCTGGGGGTTCAAACTCAGGTCCTGTGCTGTATAAATATTCCTACCCACTGAGAAATCTCCCTAGTCCCAAGTAATTTTTCTTTTTTTAAGACAAGACTGTCATGTGTCCAAGGCTGCCCTCTAGAGTGCTGGGATTACAGGCATGTGTTACCACATCCTGTGTACACAGTGTTGGGGATCAAACCCTGGGCTTTGTGCAGGCTAGGCGAGCACTCTACCAACTGACCTACATCCCTGGCCCCCTCATGTAAACATTTCATGGGCTCTGGCACTGTGCTTCATGGGCCTGGTGTATAAGTGGGTTTCCGCCCCCCAAAGCAACACTTCCATAGACCCTCTGATAGTCAGAAAGGAAGGCAGTGCCCACTCGTGAAAGGAGAGGGCTGAGACAGACAGCTTTGCACACTGAACAAAAGGCTAGCCTGGGAGCAGGCAGGGTGACACCTTTCACATTCTTCCATCGTGACAAAACTATTTTCTTGCCGGGCAGTGGTGGCGCACGCCTTTAATCCCAGCACTCGGGAGGCAGAGCCAGGCAGATCTCTGT